CTATAAGTTATGGTATGTGAAAGAAGGTTTTTTTTGGTATAAACTACAAGTTATGGTATATGAAAGGAGGTTTTTTGTTATAAACTATAAGTTATGGTATATGAAAGGGGTGTTTTGTTATAAACCATAAGTTATGGTATATGAAAGGAAGTTTTTTATTATAAACTATAAGTTATGATATATAAAAGGAGGTTTTTTTGTGATAAACTATAAGTTATGGTATATGAGAGGTTTTTTTTGTGATAAACTATAGGTTATGGTATATGAAAGGAGGTTTTTTTGTGGATATATCGATTTTTCTTAACATTCAAAAAATAATGTTCCAATATAGTTCAAGAAAAATTAAAAACATTTTATTTTTTAACAGTAGTGAAACTAGATTATATTAGATTTTAAATTCTCAGATAGATGTGTGTATGTTTCGCAGCTTTAGATAAAGCTACTTCGCATCTTTACTTCAAATCTTTCAATTAAGAAACACTTATAGAACATAGTAGTAATTAGTTAATGTAACCAACCTTAAAGAGTATTGCAGAGGTATTTTCCTCTTCTGAGCTTTTCCTACGGTCAGTAGTTGTGGAAACCAAAAATGATCGATTCGCTGGAAACAGAATCTCACAGGCTGACACACATCGTTCTAAAGAATTCAGATTAAATCTGAATCTTGTCACTTTTTTAGAGCATACATACGGATGCAATTCTTTTTCAAAATTCAAGATTGAGTCTGAGGTAGTACGACGTAATGATGTTTGCAGAATTGCAGGTGTCTGTGGAAAGTATTTCTTTTGTGAAGTCATTTGAGTAGAAACACTTGAAACTCCTTTCTCTGAGTCCATCCTTTCAAACTGGTTTGTTACAGTATGGGGCTCTACCTTCATAAACTCACTATTACTAAGTTTTTCAATGTGTTTAATGTTATCTAAGTGTTTAGATGATTGCGGAAGGAAATTATTGTTATGTGTAAAAGTTTTGGCCTTGGTAATTATTTTGTTTGTTGTGCAAGAATTATCAGGCATTATTTCCTGGAAGCCACGTGTTATGGTATTTGATGTATCGTTTCTCTGAATCCTTTGAATCCTCGCTGTTTCATAATCTTGTGCAGCATTGTGTTTGTCCAAGCTAGTGAATTCTTGAGAGTTTGTCCCATTCTTTGGTAAAGGCATAGAGCAAATGGACATTGTCTGCTTTATCATCTCCTCATCGTGATTGCAAGGGGACAATAAATCTTTCCTTTCTACTGCATATTTGGATTCACCTTCTGAGGAACTAGAATAAATTGTGTCCATGAAAGAAGTCTGTCGAAATTGGCACAGGCCAAGCCTACTGTCAGAGGAAAATATTCTTCCATGTTCCTCCGTTGACACTTTTAGGTGAACAGGGGAAACGTCTGATCTACGAGTCTTCACATGTTCTGATAAGTTAACCGAAAACAAATGTGAATCTTGCATGTTAGAGTTTGGACCTTCGATTACCTCTTCTTGAATATCACTGGACATGGTGGAATATCCTTCATCTTTACTTCCAATATCATTTTCAACGGTTGATTTCGAGTTATCTTTGGAATGATGTAAGCCATTTAACCTAATGGTATCTGTAATATATACATATATAAGTGAGAGTTATCAAAATCTCTGAAATCCTGAGTTAGTTATTGATACCTTTAAGCTAATTTAACTATTTAAAAATTAGAAAATTAAAAATAAGCATACAACTAACAATGCATTTGTTAAAGTCTAGTTTCACAGAATTAGACGACGAACTGAGAAGTTTACTACAATATTACGTTAGATATATTTCCTTACCTGTTATTGTAATAACAGCGATTATTTAGTTCAGGGTTAACGTTATTTCGTTACTACTGTATTTGTGCGTCTTGTGACATGTTTTTCAAGCTGATTTG